GTTTGCCTTGTCTCAAGATGTTTGACAAGAGGACAAGAGGACAGAAAGATGTCTAAGGCTGCAATAGATGCCACTAAATGCTGAGTAAAGACAGAGGTAACTGCAAGTGTGTGTATGAGTGTGCGTGTGTGCGTGTGTGTACATGGCTAAGCTGATCAAATGCAGCAGCCACAAGTAAAGTAAACTTCATTTGTAGCTATTGCCGAGGGGAAATAAACGCGCGCAATTTTCAACGCAAGCTACGTGCAAGTTACAAGGGCAAACACACACACACACACAGAGAAAGAGAGGGAGATACTTGGCGCCTAAAATGCGGCAAGAGAAAAGCGAAAGCAGAGCCAGCAGCAGAGGCAGCAGCAGAGGCAGCAGCAGAGGCAGCAGCAGCATCATCAGTTGTTGCAAAAACACATACAAGTAAAATCAAAACAAAAACACGCGATTTACCGGCAAAATGCACGTGACAGCCGAGGCAGCCGCTCGTGTCCGAGCTTCGGCTTCGTTCAGTGCCGAAGGTGGAACGAGTGAACGGCGTCGAATCTAACGATGCTGCCAGCGAGGACTATAAAAGGACGCGTCACAGCAGCAGCCACGCATTTTGTCAGCAGCGACAGTTGCGAGCAGCTGGAAGAGGAAGCAAAAGAGAGAGAGAGAGATAGAGAGAGAGCAGAGCAGAGCAATCCCCAAATGCCTTAAGGAAAAGCAATTCAAGCTCTAAAGTGAAAACAAAAGTGAAAAACTGACTTGGCAAATTGCCAAAAAAAAAAATAAATATATATATATACACATATATGTGTCTAAGTGTATGTGTGTGTGTGTGTTACTGCAAGTGGATTTCTATTTTAGCGCCCAGTGAAGGCAGCGCGTGAAGTGTTGTCGTCGTTGAGGCAAGGCAGGCTGCTGCTGCCCCAAGCTGTGGCATTGAGCGACGGCAACAACACAACTTTAAAGCGGTTTAAAGACGGCTCAACAACAAATAACAAACACGAAAACAAAAACAAAAACAAAAACAAAATAAACTGAAACTGAAAAGCAACAAGACAAGTCTCTCGCACATTATCCTTGCCCCAGGCTAGTTCACACAGCTGCAAGCACAAGTTACGAGTGCTCAATGTCAGCCCGTTGATTCGTGTGTGAAAGTGTGTGTGTGTGTGAGTGCTCGAAAACAGTTAAAACAAACAGTTAACCAATTTGGGTGAGCCTGGCCAACATGTGGAACTGGCAGCGTATGCGCCATAAGCCACTCTGGGCCTTAATATCCTTGACCGTGCTGCTGCTGATGCTCGACAGAGTAAGCCAGAGTCAGGCCAACACTGAGCCGCCGGCTGTGGAGACAACCACCAGCACAACAACGGAGCCAGGTGAGATTTATAGTATATAAAAATAAATAAACATACGAGAGAAAAGAAATGAAAAAAAAAAAAAAAAAATATTGACCTTCATTTGGCAGCAATACATTTTTGGTTTATGTTTCACGTTTTGCTAGAAATTATTTTTGGGGCCTATATGGCCAGACGCCGGCGCTGCTGTTGAGGCTGTGGGAGGCGTGCGAGTGGGCGTGTGAGTGGAAGAGGGAGCGGGAGAGGCAGCCACTTTGTTAAATGACTTTCGTGCTCGAAAACGATAATCACACACACACACACACACGCACATAGACAGGCACACGCATAGCGAAAGGAAAACAAAATTCAATATACGAAATTAACTTTGGTTTATAACGAACTCTGAATGTGCTTCGAGAACTTGGGAAACTTAGTGCAGCAGGAGTTAGGAGTTGGTTTCTTTTCAATTTCTAATCAATTGTTTGAGTTATGAGAATTGCAGAAAAACTTTAGTTAAGATACTTAGCTTAACAGCTGACTTAAAGTCTAACTAAAAATTCTCAGCATAAACCATTTCTTTTTTATCTAAAAGAAATCTAGTTTTAGGTTTTTTTTTTTTTTTGGTTTTATCATTTCTTTTAATTTGTTAATGTATGATTATTACAACTTTTTATTTAAATTTTTTTATTTATTTTTATTTTTTTTTTGTCTGTTGCCAGACAGCTTAACAAACAGAATTTCTATAAAGTTTTTGAGCTTGAGATATGATAAGCATTCATATCAATATTTGTTTGCCAAGTGATACAATATCATTTCTATTAGTTCAAAGTTTAAGCTCTATGTCAATTGATTTTTAAGGGAATTCTTATCAAGTCATAATTGGTCTGCAACTCAGCCATCATATAAGAAATATTATTGTAAACTGTTTGACATGAAACATATTTATTTGTGAGCAATTCAACAATAATTTTTAAACCACGCATATTGCGAATTTCTGTTGCAAAGTTATTGAATAAATGTGAATACCTGATGCTTAATAAAGTTAACTGGGTTGCAAGAAAACAAAAACGAATGGAAAAGCAAAGGCAGAGGCAGAGGCAAAGGCAGAGAGAGCGTCGAGCAAATAATTCGCAGCAAATGAAATATTTCACGTTCAGAGCGTCTACCCGTCCAGCTCCCCCCCTCAATCACAGTCAGTTCTATGGGCACAGAGGCAATCAAAACGAGGCCTGTTGGCCAAACCTTAATCCCAATCAGAGTCAATACAGGCACACACACACAGAGAGAGACACTGTGAAAAAATAGGTAGTATGATTGCATGAAAGCATTTAATGAAGTATGGCAGCTATCGAGGGCTTTTTAATAGATATTAATAGCGATGGGCGATGGGCGATAGGGCGTTGGGTGGAGTCGTCTGCCAGGATTGAGGTGGCTGAGTGGTTCAGTGGTTGTGAAAAGTGCTCAATGCTGCGGCTGCTGTCACACGCAATTTGTTACGCAAAAGCAGATGCGCATTAAGTAATAAATTTTGCCTTTTTTTTCAATTATTTTTCTCCTTGCTGCCGCTGCTGATGATCTCATTGGCGAAAGCTGCGACGCAGTTGATTCTCATCAAAAAATTGCGCAGTTTGTGCAATCGAAATTGAATCGAGTTTCCTTCTGTTACTTTTCTTCTTTTATTTTTTTGTGGATTTACATTCGTGTTGACACAGGTGTTGCGGGTAGAAGCCAACAATTTGAGGTGGCAGCTGTTGGCCAGTTGCAGGCACTTTCCATTTCGCCAGCTAAAATATTTGACCAGGACCAATACCAACAGCGCCACACACACACACACAGTAGTTGGAATTTAATTTGCATGAAGAGCCACAGAGCCGTAGAGCCACCGCTCCTTTTTTTTCGATTTGGAACTAAAAATGAGAGCTGAGAAGCAAAAGGAACGCAACAGCTAGATGGAATCTGCAATAAGCCAAATGGCAACTAAAAATGTCGCTCAGTCTGCACAATTGTGCATCAAGCTGAAGCATGTGCCATAAATCTTTTAGCTATTTCTATGCTCTCACTGTGGGGTAGCTCGATTTAGTTTGTAAAGTAACAATGGATTACATGAAAATAAAAGAAAGAGTTTTCCGATGAATTTCGTAAAAAAATACAAATTGTTTTATTTTGGCCTTTTTCTTAGGTCAATTCTTTAGCTAGATAAGTCTGTCTAAATAAAACATAAATAAATTTGGGTGTAATTGAAAAATTAACTTAAATTTATTCGAAAAATATTTTGTTTAAATATATTTAAAAAACAAAAAATAACAAAATAAATATAAAAAATTATTTATTTTATTTTTATTTAAGTTATATTTTTATTATATTAAAAAAAAAAAATTAAGATTTCTTGAAAAAAAAAAAAATTTTTAAAAATAAAAAATTAAAAAAAATAAAATATATAAATATTATTAAAACAAATATTTAAAAAAATTATAAATATTTTTATTTTTTTTTTTTAAATAATTTTATTTATTTATTTATCTTTTTGAATTTTAAAAATTATTTCTTATATATGAATAATTTTTAAAGTTGATTTTTAAGAATTCAGTATTTGTATATGTTATCTGTTTTATCAAAACCGCATGTGCTGTATTTTATTTATGCATTTACTCTATTTTAAATGCCTTTAAAACTTGTTTAAAGCCAATTAAAAAAACATTTTAGAGCATCTTCAGTGCGGCATGCCGCAGAAAAATCCCTCTTCGCTTGTAGTTTATGGCATTTTTTGTGTCTCGGCTGATGACGAAGATGACTAGCTGATGATCATGTTGATAATGACGATGTTGATGTTGATGTGTGCTACATGCCCGCAGGACATGAACTGGGAACTGGGAACTGGGAACTGGCCTGCGAGCTGCTCTGGTCTCACATGCTGCCCGGCTGGCTACTAGGGCTGCCTGCCGAGTTCAAGCTCGAGCTCGAGTTGCAGCTCCTGGTACTGGCCTGCTGTTATCCTGTGCATTATGCATGCAAATGGTATAACCGAGTAACGAACTGTCAAAATCAAAAGCGACAACTGCGAGAAAGGAAGATGAAAACTGGAAGAAAAAATAAAGGGAAACGCAAAAGAAACGAAAAGAAAAGCAACGCAGCAGGCAAATGACAAAAAGTCGCCCAAGACAGCTTCCTGGTGCACGGTCCCCAGGAGCTACTCGTGCGCCAGTTCTCAGTTCCCATTTCGCATTTCGCAGTTGCCCAGTCCCAGGCATATTATGCCATGTGCTATGCATGCACTGAAAGATAAAGATGACGCGAGTCCTGGCCAACGTCTTGGCTCCGATTCAGCATCCGTCGTCCTCTTCAGTTTTCGGCTCTGTCGTATGCGTGTTTTGCATAAAGCCAGCCAGAGCTAACCAGACTTGTTCATTGTGGGCAAACTGCTTTTGCTCGGCTGTGCATGAATGATTTATGGAACAGCTGCAGCTGCAAGGGGCCGACGGGGCAAGTGGCCCATTGCCAGCGATTATCAACGACTGTTGACTGGGCGCAGTTTTAAGAGTTAAGCAAGTCTTTGACTGCAATATTTAAGTGCATTTATTAGTTGGTAAATTTTTTAAAGAATTTAGAAACAATAAATATTTATATTCCAATCCATTCTAGAATATTAACTACAATATAAGTTACTGTTACTTGAGAGGTAACTCCTAAACACGTTTGACTAGTTTGACTTTAATATCATTTTTGCAACGCAATGTGATGCCAGTCTGGAAAACTAAATCCTTGGGATCAATGAGAGGTAGAACCTTGAACTTCTTTAGTACTACGGTGAGCAGTGTCTTCATCTCGAGCATGGCATACTTTTGACCTGAGCAGCAGACATAATAATTGAGAAATATTCACATATACATCTCACTCAAACTTACCTATGCAATTGCGTTGGCCCGCACTGAAGGGCATGAAGGCATAGGTGTGACGATCTTTGCTGTTCTCGGGCAGAAAGCGTTCGGGCTGGAACTCCTCGGGTGAGCTCCAGTACTTGGGATTGCGATGCAGCTCATAGATATGCAGCATAGTGACGGCACCGGGCGGTAATATCAGCCCATTGGGCAGCTCAGTTTCCTTTTGTGTCATGCGACTAATAACGGGCACCGAGGGAAACAGTCGCATCGTCTCCTTAACAAAGCACTCCAAATACTTTAGTTTGGATAGCTCATTAAGGTCCAAGTTACTGAAATCATCTATGATAATAAAGATATAGTTTATAGGATAATAATTGAATATAAAGCTGTTCAGACATATTTTACCAGCTATATGTTCGCTTATCTCCTGATAACACAGTTCCTGCTTATCTTGGTGTAATGACATGTTCATGAGTCCAAATATCAGGCCAATGGAAGTGGTATCGAAGCCCTCAAACATGAGTGTATCCACCTCCTCGCAAATTCCCACGTGATCAATCAGGCCATCCTTTTCGGCAAGGATCAGCGTGTCCAGCATGGCAAAGCGTTGTTTCTTATTGATATAACTGGAATATTATTATTAGAAATATAGATAGTTACGACGTGGACTTATTTACATATATTAACTTTGATGAATCAATGTAGTTTCACTTACATATCATCCACTGCTTCTTGATTGTTTCTCTGTTCTTTAATTTCTTCTGCCAAAAGCTTTCGCCGTTTGGCTATAATTTCACTGGAGAAGCCATGGACTTCCTCTAAGAATTGTTTATCCTTGCTGGCTCCAAAGAGGCGATAAATGTTATCATTCCAATATATGGGATTGCTTATGCGGCTTATAAATCTCTTTTCGATCATGCTGAAGTTTTCGCGATAGCGATCCCCCTTGGCTGCCATGTCATCCAGCTTGATGCCCATGGCTGTCTCTGTGGGTGAATATCAACTGATGAAGTACAGTAGGCATTCAGCTTGACGAACTTACCACAAATGCTGTTGAGAGTGAATCTTGGTATGAGCTCACTTAGGGAGATAGAGACTTCGTCCTTTCCTTCAAATTGCTGCACGAATTTAAAACTTTCAGCTCTAGAGAGATTATTTCAATTATAATAAATAGAAAATTTTATAATATTATTATTATTCAATCAATTTGTAAAACTTACTTGAAAATTTCTGCAAACTGGCTTAAAATATTAAAGTGAAATGTGGGCGTGAGCATCTTGCGTCTTGAGTGCCATTTCTGACCTGAGTCGCGGATGTATTAATCAGAGATAAATATAAATGTGTTTATTTATAGCTTACCAGTTGAGGTCAATAGACCCGTGCGTAGAAAGGGATGCAGAAATTTGTAACCAAGTCCTTTGCTTATCATATTCTGATCATTCAGTATGTTATCGAAGTTCTCTGCATCAATTATGCAGAACTTGGCTCTGCCCATGACATATTCTATATAGCTGCGACCCATTTTCTTGACTTTTGCGCGCAGATCGGTGAACACCTCAGCTAAAAATGAGGCTTAGATAATGGCTTTCATTTGGCTAGATTTCTCAGCTCACCATCATTTCTGCCATACAAATCGAAGCAGTTTCCAAATATGGTTCGTCCTTCGGCTATCGGAGCTATACTCTCCAGGGGTCGTCCATCCTTAGTGCGCACTCGCTTGGCAAAGAAGGCCAGCACATAGTATTCCCTATTGAGTCTATATAGCCAGAAGATAGCCGTGCCCAGGCCGATCAACAGTAGCAGACCCAAACTCATTGTAAAGCGTTAAGGCAATACGTACAACTTCTCCATCCAAGCGCTCAGCTCTGACTGAAACAAACTTTTGAAAATCCCGTCAATTTATTAAGTAAAACTCTCTCCCAGCCGAACGCTGGATATAATCTTATCAGCTGTCGGCAATATAAGAGAGACTCTATAAAGTTAGTAGTTACTAAGTAGTTTATTGTGTGCATAGATATACGGCAAAACTAGTCTGGTTCTGTCTAGACAGAAATAGAAATATTCTAGGTAATATGGGCGTGTGGGTTGAGTAAAAACTCGTTCCCCTTGCGAAAATGAATAAAGTTTAGTTAATACTATATTATTAGAATTTCCACTGTTTTATTAATATATGCAGAAAATGTACAGTAAATCGATTATCATAATTGAGCTAAAGGGCAATTTATTAATATTTGTTATAAAACTTTGCACTTCGCCCCAAGTAAGACTAACATAAAATTGAAACAATGTATTTAATACAGTTAGAGTTAACAACAAAAACATCTTAATAGCTAAAAGCTAACTACGTCGCACTAGTTTCACTCGAATATCATTTTTGCAACGCAATGTGATGCCAGTGTGAAAAACGATATCTTTGGGATCAACCAGAGGTAAGACAATGAACTTTTTGAGTATTACGATGAGCAGTGTTTTCATCTCGAGCAGGGCAAACTTTTGACCTGTGGGAGGGAAATACATATGAATAGCAATTAACTAATATATATTCATTTTATATATTCATCATTCAATTAAATTTACCTATGCAATTGCGTTGACCCGCACTGAAGGGCACATAGGCATAGGTATGACGATCTCTGCTGTTCTCGGGAAAAAAGCGTTCGGGCTGGAACTCCTCGGGCGAGCTCCAGTACTTGGGATTGCGATGCACATCAAAGATGTGCATAACAATCTGCGCTCCTGGCGGCAGTATCAGCCCATTGGCCAGTTCAGTTTCCTTTAGAGTCTTGCGACTCATAATCGGCACCGAGGGAAACAGTCGCATCGTCTCCTTAACGAAGCACTCCAGATACTTTAGTTTAGAGACCTGATTAAGGTCCAGGTTGCTAAAATCATCTGGCAAGGCAAACTATGGGTTAATAACTGATTAGAATGCGCGTCAGACAAGTCTTACCAGCAATGTGTTCGCTTATCTCCTGATAGCACAGCTCCTGCTTATCTTGGTATAATGACATGTTCATGAGTCCAAATATCAAGCCAATGGAAGTGGTATCGAAGCCCTCGAACATGAGTGTGTCCACCTCCTCGCAAATTCCTGCATGATCGATTAGGCCATCCTTTTCGGCAAAGATCAGCGTGTCCAGCATGGCAAAGCGTTGTTTCTTGTTGATATAACTAAATTTAGATTGCATATAAATAAAGGAGAAATTTCTTGCATCTATTGCTTTACTTACATATCATCGTCTGCCTCTTGACTGCTTCCTCTTTCCTTTATCTCTTGAGCCAAGAGTATTCTGCGCTTGGCTATAATTTCACTAGAGAATTCATGAACATCCCTTAGGAAGCGTTTGTCCTCCATGGAGCCGAACAGTTCGTACAAGGTATCGCTCCAGTAAATTGGATTGCTAAAGCGCCTTATAAATATTTTTTCAATCATGCTGAAGCTTTGGCGATAGCGATCCCCCTTGGCTGCCATGTCATCCAGCTTGATGCCCATGGCTGTCTCTGTGGGTGAATATCAACTGATGAAGTACAGTAGGCATTCAGCTTGACGAACTTACCACAAATGCTGTTGAGAGTGAATCTTGGTATGAGCTCACTTAGGGAGATAGAGACTTCGTTCTTTCCTTCAAATTGCTGCACGAATTTCAGACTCTCGGCCCTATAAGCAAAGTATAAATATATATCAATACAAAGTTATATAGATTAAGTAATGAGACACACTTGAAAATCTCTGCAAATTGTCCCAAGATATTGAAGTGAAATGTGGGCGTGAGCATCTTGCGTCTTGCGTGCCATTTCTGACCTGAAATCGTTTACGTTTATGTTTAATCAAGCGCACTACTATGACTAACTGTCTGTCGCCCACCTGTTGATGTCAACAGGCCAGTGTGTAGCGCCGGCTGCAAGAATTCATACACCATGCCCTTGGTTATCAGGTTCTGATCATTTAGCACGGCTTCCAAGTTGTCCGCATCGATAATACAAAATATGGATGTGCCCATGGCGTATTCTATATAGCTGCGACACATTTTCTTGGTTCTATTGCGCATATCGGAAAACACCTCAGCTGGGAGAGATAAAGAGGGAGATAGAGAGATAAATACAATTGACTGGCTAGAAGTATATTTTGCTCACCCTCATTTCGGCCAATCAAATCGAAAGAGTTTCCGAATATGGTGCGTCCATCAGCTATTGGAGCTATATATTCTACGGGTCGTCCATCCTTAGTTTTCACTCGCTTGGCAAAGAAGGCCAGCACATAGTATTCCTTATTGAGTCTATATAGCCAGAAGATAAGCGTGCCCAGCGCGATCAACAACAGCAAACCTAGACCCATTGCAAAGCAGATGAACAACGCGTATAACCAACCTCTCCCGACAAGCTTGAATTGCTGACTGAACTAGAACTACAATTTATTAAAAACGGTTGATTGGACGCTGAACATTATCTTGGTAAAAAAAAAATAAATAAATAATAAGATTATATATGTATTTGTTTGAGTGAGTTGCCGGCGTTTGATAAGACGCTGCTAGACTCTATAATATATGAGAAATCTAGTAATATAGTATATAGGTCTGTGTGTTGGTGGGTTTACAAGGCGTGACGACAACAACCGGATTCTATCAGCAAAACTAATTATATTTAATTGCAGTTGCTTGATGATACCAATTATAGATGTTGGAACATATACTAGCTACTGGCAGTGTAAAGTGTATATATATAAGCAGTTTGCACTAAAAATAACTCTTTTATAGAATGGCTGTTGTTTTGTCTTATCATGGTTAGACATTAGTTCTTAGACTTCGAGTCAATCCAGTCATCATGATTAGGTGATTTGGACAAATGATACAAGAAATATGATATACATATGAATATACATAATTGCTGTTGCAATAGAATGGGGATTAATGAAATTAATGAATGATTCAAATGAAACATTACTGAGGAAAGTTATTGACGAAGTTCTTGACCGGTCAGGATATATTCTAGGGTATATTCTGAATGCTGTGCTGTCAGGGCTGAGAACTTAGAATTTAAAAGCATTATGAAGTCACTCAAGCCAAAACCAATTTCATTTCCTTTTACGATTTCAAGTTCAAGTTTAATAACTTGCAGCTAAATTTGGAATGCCTCCATATTAAGAGAGAATAAGAGAAGAGAACTAAGAGCGTATGTAGTAAAATTATATGATCTCTTTTGAACAGCGACGATAGATAAGTAAACAAACAAATGCAAGCGTTCACATGCCTTATCGAACATATGATTCAATAAACTGAACAGAGATTCCATTACCTATAAATATGTATGTATGTATATATAAAACACTTTTAGTAATCAGTAAAATCTTTATTTTGTATGTTATCACAAACACTACCTTACAACTGCATTTATTATCTATTAAGCCAGTTTAATGGCCAATACAAGTTTTTTATAATATTGCTTCGAACTTTCAGGCATTACGCTTGATTAGCTTGACTGTAATATTATTTTTGAAGCCCAATGTGATGCCCAGGCTTAGGCGCAAATCCTTGGGATCGAAAACAGGCATAATCTTAAATCTCTTAACTATAACGGTCATGAATGTTTTTATCTCGAGCATTGCGTATTTTTGACCTAGAAACAGAAAAATGAGTTAAAATAGATACATATGTATTTATTACAATAAACGTACCTATGCAATTGCGTTGGCCCGCACTGAAGGGCATGAAGGCATAGGTATGACGGTCTTTGCTGTTCTCGGGCAGAAAGCGTTCGGGCTGGAACTCCTCAGGTGCGCTCCAGTACTTGGGATTACGATGCAGTTCATACATGTTCAATACGATTTGAGCACCAGCTGGTAAAATCAGACCATTTGACAGCTCAGTATCCTTGGTTGTTTGTCGACTAATAGAGGGTGCTGATGGATATAGGCGCATCGTTTCCTTAATAAAACATTCCAAATACTTGAGCTTCGACAGCTGATTCACGTCCAAATTACTAAAGTCATCTGGAAGAACGAACGATGAAAAACGATTTCTATTCATAGAGAACTCCCATTCAATTACCAGCTATATGCTCGCATATTTCCTGATAGCAGAGCTCCTGTTGGTCCTGATAAATGCCCATATTCATAAGTCCAAATATAAGAGCAATGGAGGTGGTATCAAAACCTGCGAACATAAGTGTGTCCACCTGCTCGCAAATGCCCTCATGATCGATCAATCCATCCTTTTCTGCCATGATTAGAGTATCCAGCATAGCAAATCGTTGTTTCTTTTTGATGTAGCTGAAATTTAATATATATTAGCATTTCACATCAAATGAACTCCTAATAATCTTAGCTCACATATCTTCCTCTTCTGTGTTCGAGTCTTTCTTATCCTTAATCTCCTGTGCAAATAGTTCTCTGCGCTTGGCTATGATTTCGCTAGAGAAATCATGGATTTCCTTTAGAAATTGCTTTTCGTCGCTTGGGCCGAACAGATTATAGATGGTATTATTCCAAAAGAAGGGATTGCCTGCTCGTTTTATGAATCTCTTTTCAATCATGCCAAAGTTCTCTCGATAACGATCGCCCTTAGCAGCCATATCATCCAGCTTGATGCCCATGGCAGTTTCTGTGGTTGTATAGAAGCATTGACTAAGCGATACAGAAAGTAATTAGCAATTAACTAGCTTACCACAAATGCTGTTGAGCGTAAATCTGGGTATGAGCTCACTTAGAGAGATGGTAGTCTCTGCATTGCCTTCGAATCGCTGCACGAATTTCAGGCTCTCAGCTCTAAATTAAATTCGATTATAATAAAATTTAAATTAAAAGAAAATAAAATTGAAATTCAATTAAAAGCAAATATGGTTTGGTTAACATTTAGTTGAACTTACTTGAACACCTCATTAAACTGTTCCAATATATTAAAGTGGAAGGTCGGCGTGAGCAATTTGCGTCGCGAATGCCATTTTTGACCTGCAATTTATGTGTTTAATCAGAATACAATGTAGTGTACATATAATGTGTGGCATTGTGTAACTGACCCGATGATGTCAGTAGGCCTAATCGTAGAGCTGGTTGCACAAAATCGTACACAATTCCCTTCGTCAATAGTTCTTTATCGTTCACAATGGCTTCAAAGTTCTCCGCATCGATTACATTGTAAACAGATGTGCCCATTACGTATTCCAAGTAGCTGCAGCCGAGCCGCTGAGCGCAATTGTGCACTTCGTCAAAAACTTCAACTGATGGACAGAAAGTGCACTGTAAATAAATTATTCTAATGGAACTCCTCCAATTTACTGACCGTCCTCCATGCCATACAAGTCGAATGAATTGCCAAAGATTGTATTTCCCTTAGATATCGGAGCTATATTCTCCACGGGTCGTCCATCCTTAGTGCGCACTCGCTTGGCAAAGAAGGCCAGCACATAGTATTCCCTATTGAGTCTATATAGCCAGAAGATAAGTGTTCCCAGCGCGATCAACAGCAGCAAACCCAAAGCCATGTCAGAGCCGTCGCGTAGTACGTTCTATTGCTCTCAATCACCGACGAATATTGTTTGAAAAATGCGCATTACGCCAGCTTAAATACCATAGAAAGACTTATAAAATCATTTCTATGTGCTCAACCTTGTGCCGGTACAATATAAGAGAGAGTGAGTGGGAGAGAGAGAGAGTGAGAGAAACTAACTGAAAGAGATTAGACGGCGGCGGGTTTGTTTATTTGTTAAAGAGCACAACGTTTAATTGATGTCAAATAACTTGTTCTCTCTTCGGAACTGTAGTAGCAAATTGAATGCTCATGGTGAGCCGGCATTTAATTTGTTTTTTACTTGTCAGCGTGAGTATATATATATACATATATATACATTTATATGTAGAGTTTTATTGATGATTCTCATCATGATTTCGCAAAAATTAGAAGCCAAAATATAAAAGTCATTATTGTTTGTTTATTTTTAGAGATTTTATTATTTAAAACTAACTCACTAAAATATAAAATATTTATTAAAATATATCAATATTAGGAAATTTGATTTAATGATGTATTTATTGGCTCTCTAGGTGTAAATATTTTAATCGTATTTATTCAAAATATTGATAACACTCTATAACATCAATAAATCAGCTGTGATTAGACACAAATATTGGTTGTTGCTACGTAAAGCTGAAATAAGTGTAAAAAAGTATTTCATAATTTCTCCACATCATTACAATTTTGACTTTATTAAATTTATGTTATTTATTTAATTTTTTTTTAATTTATGTAATAGTTTGTAGCTGCCATAGAATATAAATAAAAAGAGTCGTATAATATGATAGTTTGAATACAAAAATAAGAGAAATGCATAAGAATAATTATCAAATTTAAAATAAAAATCTATTTTTGATTTATTTTTTGATATTATTTTAATTTTAATTTTTTACTCATCATAAACAAGATGTTAGTCTCTGTTATAGTATCTCAATTAAACACTATTCATAATAAAAAATTAAATTTGAATGCCTAGCTACGCTTAACTAGTTTGACCTTAACATTAGTTTTGCAACCTATTGTAATACCCGAGCTGAACACTAAATCCTCGGGCTTAACAATCGGTAAAATTTGGAATTTCCTAAGTACAACGCACATCAAGGTCTTTATCTCGAGCATCGCATACTTTTGACCTGCAAAACACAAAAATGAGTTAAGACACATGCACAGATATTAATCCATTTCGGCTTACCTATGCAATTGCGTTGACCTGCACTGAAGGGCACAAAGGCATAGGTATGACGGCCTTTGCTGTTCTCGGGCAGAAAGCGTTCGGGCTGAAATTCTAGCGGAGAGCTCCAGTACTTGGGATTGCGATGCAGCTCATAAATGTTCAATACGATTTGGGCACGTGGCGGTAAAATCAGACCATTTGACAGCTCAGTATCCTTGGTTGTTTGTCGACTAATAGAGGGAGCTGATGGATAAAGGCGCAGCGTTTCCTTAATAAAACATTCCAAATACTTCAGTTTCGACAGCTGATTCACATCCAAATTACTAAAGTCATCTGCAAGAACAAACGATTGATAACGATTTCTATTCATAGAGAACTTCCATTCAACTACCAGCTATATGCTCGCATATCTCCTGATAGCACAGCTCCTGTTGATCCTGATATACGCCCAAGTTCATTAGCCCAAATATGAGCGCAAGGGAAGTGGTATCAAAACCTGCGAACATGAGTGTGTCCACCTGCTCGCAAATGCCCTCGTGATTGATTAATCCATTCTTTTCGGCCATGATTAGAGTATCCAGCATAGCAAATCGTTGTTTCTTTTTGATGTAGCTGAGACATAAAGAAATTAGCATGTAACAGCAAATGAATTCCTAATGATTTCTACTTACATATCATCCTCTTCTGGATCAGAGCCTTTCTTATCCTTAATTTCCTGTGCGAATAGTTCTCTGCGCTTGGCTATAATTTCGCTAGAGAAATCATGGATTTCCTTTAAAAATCTCTTTTCGTCGCTGGGTCCGAATAGATTATAGATGGTGTCGTTCCAGAAAAGAGGATTACCCATGCGTTTTATAAATCTCTTCTCGATCATGCCAAAGTTCTCTCGATAGCGATCGCCCTTAGCAGCCATATCATCCAGCTTGATGCCCATGGCTGTCTCTGCAGGTAGATGTATTTATAGTAATATTTGTTGATAAAGTACAGTAAACATTCAGCTTACCACAAATGCTGTTGAGCGTAAATCTGGGTATGAGTTCGGTTAGAGAAACGATACTCTCCGCATTGCCTTCGAATTGCTGCACGAACTTCAAACTCTCAGCTCTAAAATAAGAAAAGAGAATTAAGATAAAATTGAGTTTGCTTTCCATTTAGTTGAACTTACTTGAAAACCTCATTAAACTGACTCAAGATATTGAAGTGGAAGGTCGGCGTGAGCAATTTGCGTCCTGCGTGCCATTTCTGACCTGAAGTTAATAATGTTTAATCCGAATTAAATTTAGTTAATATCTCATGGCATTGTGCTATTCACCTGTGGATGTCAGCAGGCCTAATCGAAGCACCGAGTGCACAAAATCGTATACAATGCCCTTGGTTATCAAATCCTTATCGTTCAGTATTGATTCAAAGGTGTCCGCATCGACCACATTGTAAACAGCCAAGCCCTTTATGTACTCCAAGAAGTTGCAGCCCATTTTCACGGCGCGATTGTGGCGTTGAGTAAACACTTCAACTGCATGGAGGAAATGAATATACATTATTCACTCGGATTTATGATTTTGGGAGCTTTTACTAACCATCCTCCAAGCCATACATGTCAAAAGAATTGCCAAATATAGTGCGTCCCTCAATTGTGGGAGCTATACTCTCCACGGGTCGTCCATCCTTAGTGCGCACTCGCTTGGCAAAGAACGCCAGCACATAGTATTCCTTATTTAGTCTATAGAGCCAGAAGATAAGTGTGCCTAATCCGATTAGCAACAGCAAAACCAAAGCCATTTCGGAGCCGTCGGAAAACACGTTCTACTTCGCCAAACAAACGATACGCATTGACTATAAAATTCACTCGACACTACCTTAAATACCATGCTCAGACCCAACGCCATAAAATATTGTCTGAGTCGCAATTTAGATAATAATATTATGCAGCATTCAAGTTTGTGCTGGCTGCCTCTGCCTGTGTTCGTATTTGGGAGAGCCAAGCATATAATTATTGTTTGATAAAAACTTGTTCTCTCAGCAAAAAAAAAAAAAAAACAATTGAATTAGTTTTATTGTTATTGTATTATTGTTTATATGTATAGGCTATATGAGTATTTGTTTTATATCAAACATTTATTGTGTAGTATATTTGTTGTATGTTTAATTACACATTGTGTTTATTATATGTATTTCTATTGCATAACACTCTCCGATACTTAATCGCAGTTTTCATCTCTTTTTTCGCATATATTGTTATCGCATTGAGCTCTCTGGGTGAATGCACAATTTTTTGTTAACTGTTTAGTGTGAGAGTAAAATCCAGTCATGGTTCATTGACAATTTATATCATGATTTGGCAAAGGAACAAAAGCTGAATACTCACGACTGTTTGCAAGTTCTAAGCGCTGTAAGGCCTAGGCTTCTAGACTCTAATACATATAAGAGTTTTCTAATATATAATTAAATATGAAGTACTTAAATTTTATTCATCTTTTCTCTAGATACTTCCAAATATCGATAACTCTTTACATATCTATAAAATTAACTTAAATCGATAACAAATTTTAGTTATGTCTCCCTACTAACATATCTTTTAGAATCTCGAGTCATCATACATTTTATCACCTATTTCTAACATTCTCCAATTCAGGGTATTACCAAGTCGAGCATATCCCACTTCAGCAGTCTTTATTAGCTTTCCCAGAGTGGTACAGTTTTGATAAACTTATATGCTTGCTTTTATTAATTAGATATCTACATATAGATATTGAAAAGTTTCTCTCTTGCTCGTGGCATTTATTTGGTTTCCATACATCTGTATAGCCTGTATGCCCATACATATATCTATTACATAGCTGTAGAGCTAACCAAGTGCTTCTCTAGTTCATTTGCAGCACAAATTGTGTTAGCAACATATTGTTAACAACATTTCGAGCTGCTCTAATTAAATGAGTTGCATTTAAGTGTTCGCACTTTGTGAAACATTTGCTTTTGCATTTGCAATTGCATTTTGTGTGTTTGCATTTTGCTTTTGGCTAATTGGCAATTGAATTACATCAATTAAAAGCGAGCAATGCAATTTAGACGCTTTTACATTGCCAGTTGACCCAGTTCTGTTGGATGCGGAACAAGAATATGATATAATGTATGTAGGTAATATATATATAGAATATCTAAATATATAAATATATATTTAAAAAATAATATTATATAATAAAAAATATATAAATATAAAATAATAATATAGAACTTAATTAAATTTGCTTATAGAGAGAAATAAATATAAATAATAATATATATTAAAATATATATTAATAAATTATATATTTAAAAAATATGTGTTAAAATTTTTATAGTTATAAAAAAATATGAAACTATATCAGGTTTTTTTTTTTTTTTTTTTTTTTTTTTTTTTTGGAATAAATCCTTTAATATTAAATGCTGTTAATAGTATGTTAATTTCTGTTAATTTCTATATACATATATTCTAAGTATGCATCATAATATATTATAATCTAGTTATAAGTATCTATGCAGATCTATTCAGATATATATAACTAGATTATAGGATATTAGAATTTATATAGAATATCAAGAAAAATTAAAAAGTTAACAAGCTCAACTACATTCAGCTTGAATAAATAAATACTTGTTGAGATCTTAGAAATATTTGTAAAAAAAAGTTTTACAATATGCGACTATCCCTACATGGGTTATATAAATTCTTACACAAGTTTAGGCTACACAAAATATGTTTCAAAAGAGAAAAACTTGAGCGCTGTGAACCTTAAAGTCTGTCTGCAAAATGGGGAAATGGAAAATGAAGCTGCAGCTCGGACGGAAAATGCTTGCATGACTTTGCTCAATTGCAAATTGAAACTTGTGCGAGTGTGTGGGTCTATATGTATATATGTGTGTCTGGGTGTGTGTGTGTCTGAGTGTGTATGTGTGTGTGTGCTATGCTATGCGGAAATGCCAAATGCCAATGCATATTGAAAATTTGCAATTTCGATTGCACTTCAAAGTCAGTCAAAGTTGCCAAGTTATTAAATTAGATCATATATGAAATATTTATGGCAAAAGTTCAGCTACTCAATGCCATTCTCTAGCTCATATCTCTCTCTATCTCTCTCTCTCTCTCTATCTCTGTCTCACTTACTGATTCTGTATTTCGGTTTCTTTTGCTGTTTGCAGATGCATCGCCGGGCTGCCGGGCGCCGGATGTGCGCTTCACCATTTTCAAACCGGAAATGACAACCGAACAGCCGTATGCGAAGTTTGAGACAACGCAGGTCTATCTACCGGAGGACTTTACCACAGCCGATGTCGAATTTGTGGATAAGCTGCATACGGCCAAGGAGAATCATGCGGCCATTGTGAATCCGTATTCGGTAGACTTTGCTGACGATGAGCAACATCAGCCGTATCATCATCATCATCAGCAGCAGCAGCAGCAGCATCAATCGCATCACGATGAGCTGCACGCTGGCGATGCGGCAGCCAGTCTAGTGGATGACCACGATTTGGAGGATGAGGCGGACGAGCTGCACGGCACCGAGCTGGAGGATGGGGCCTACAAGCGAATGAACACGAATCGTAAGCAGGGCAAGAAGCGACGCTCCGGTTCCGGTCGTCGTCGCCGCCTGGAGAACGAGAACGGGCAATCGGCGCGTGGGCGGGGCAGTCGCTATAAGCGCCATGCCATCCTGCACGATGCGGAGGCCTCGCCGGACACAGACCGCTGGGCGGGCAGCAAATTGGCCGCCGACGGGGATGTCTATTACGTGCACATTGCGGACATACTCAAGTCGCGTGAGCCCAATCTCCAGCTGCGCGCCAAGCTGCGCAGGTTGAAGCAGAAGGCACGGCTGGCCAAGTGCATGGCCGATGGCAGCAGCGAGAAGTGCATCAAGTTGTTGGAGAAGCTAAAAGCCAAACAGGCGGAGGCACCCAAACAGCAGCAGGAACAGCAGGAGCAGCAGGAGCAGCACCTGCAGCAGCTGGACCACGAGCAGGAGCTGGAGTTGGAGCAGCAGCCAAAGCAGGAGCACCATCGCCGACGCGGTGACAGTCACGCTGCAGAGCTCGACCAGCGTGACATGGAATCGCGTTGGCGGCGCAGCATCGATGCCAAAGGCGATGCCGGGCAATTGGAGTTGGATATGATGATCAATCATGGCAATCAGTCGAGCAGTGCAGCAGTGGCCCTGCAACGTGTAAAGCGCAAGTCGGGCAAGACCACGGGTGCACTGAGCCGTCCGAAAGGTGGTGGCGATTCCAGTTCAAAGACCACCAGTCGCAAGGACAAGGGTAAGGCATAGCAAAGCATTTGCATAGACGCCAGACACTGGCAATGCCACAGTGCCCATGAAAATTGAATTGAATTGAAAGCCGCTGTCGCTGTCTCGTTGTCTGTCTGTCCGTCTGTGTGTTATGCTAAGCCACATCAACACCAACAGACACACACAGAGACACATACACACATACACACACACACCTGGAGTGTTGAGAGTGGAGTACACAGCAATATGAATACAGAGCCCACATAACACATAAAATCGTTAAAAAGCTAATCGCAGAGTCGCCCCAACGGGCGACTCCTCCGCACGGAGTCAGCCATAAATCGCCTCAGTTCGCTCTCACGCTCAGCTCATTAACATGCTTCATGCTGGCATCGCACCATTTACTCGTCTCTGTCTCTATTTCCCCCACAGCCTCTAACTTTCTTGCACACTCTTTTCCTTTCTCTCTCTCTCTCTCTCTCTCTCTCTCTTTGTGTCTCTCTCGCTCTGTGTCCAGGAGAATAAAAAAGAATTCATTCTTTATCGTGGTTAGCCTTGTCATCTGTGTTGGTTCCAGCTTGCGGATTTGCTTACGAGGGGTTATCCTTTATTTGTTACCCTTTTTTATGCGCTTGCATAGGTTATACGAGTTTTCAGACTCCATTTGATTGCTGCTATGGGTAGATCAGAGTTGCAGATGAAGCCATGTTTAAGCTTTGAGTATTTTTGTATTGCTATACATTATTATTTATTTATTTTTTTTTTTAGCTCATAACTTGACCATTCATTTGAAAGATATCTTAATCTAGATATATGTATGTGCCATTAACTAATATAAATTTTATTGGCCAAAGCAAATCTTATCGACCGTTTTACACATATTAGCTTTTGGCCATAAATCATTTATTTTTTTTTAGATATCTGACTGAGTTAAACTCTGCTTCTATAAAATTATAAAAATTCCATTGTTTTAGTCTCTATTGTTTTCTCCACTTTTCTAATATTATTTGACATACTTCTCTCAACTTATATTTTAAAAATATTATATAGACTTTTTGCATATATTTTTCGCATTCGATAATTTTTGGTTTTAACAATTGCAAGTCTTTTAAATTAGTTTATAATTTATTAAAAATATTAGTATGACAAAATTATGAATATTAATTTTCTGAAGTACTTTCAATTTAAAAAAAGTCGTAGTAATAGTAATAGTAATAGTAATAAAATTTGATGAGGATATAAATTATAAAAAGAAAGTCATTTATTTTTATTTAATTCTATATTTTAAATTAATAATATATAGAATTAAACATTAAATATTTTAAATTAATAAAATATAGAATTAAATAAAAATAAATTAAATAAAAATTTATTTTTATTTAATTAATAAATTTAAAAAAAATTTGTTTTATTTTTATTTAATTAATAAATTTAAAAAATTTTTTTTTTTATTTAATTCTATATTTTTTTTAAAGAAATTTATTTGTATTTAATTCTATATTTGAAATTATTAAATTCTATATTTTAAATTAATAAAATATAGAATTAAA